TTACTTTACCGTAGGGCATAATAAATACAAGCGATGCGACATGAATGCTTTTCTGTATTAATCATTAGTTCACTCCACTCAAGGGCACCATTTCCTCCCGCTGGTTATCCATCAATTAAAATACTTTCAGTGGATTTTATGATTATACTGTGATTTAGCTAATTATATAACTTTTTTGGCTCCAGTATCCAAAAATGTCACAACAATGTGTTCTGTTTTACTTTATTTAATTTTTACCCCTTATCTTTTAAGGCCTGTAACAGAACCTAGGGCTTTGCCATTTAAGGAACCGGGGTTGGTGGTGGTGGTGGAGGGTGAGCTTTGATTAATTTCATGTGTAGAAACAGTCGGAGAACACCCAGAGAGAACAGAAAGTCTTTCCATTGAACTTGAAAGAGCACACTGAGCGAGGTCTGGATTCACTCTGTTAAAAAAAAAAAAAGTGATAAATCACTAGGTTAATGGGCGGTCATTTGAAGATTTACAATCCTAGCATTAAACATAAAGGAGAGTTCCAAAAGTTCATGGCATATGTGTACTGGGGAAAAATCTTAAAATTCATACTTTAATTCCATTTCTCCATGAACGTTTTTTAGTCCCCACGTATAATTACTTTTCCCCCTAGTTGTTTCTGAAGATACAGTAGTTTTAAAAGTAATATCAAGAATATTATTTTCAAATAATATTGTTTTATTGCCTCTTTTCTTAGAAGTTCCCAAAATTTGCCGGTTGGAAGTCAGCAAGGACCAGTGTGAGGGGCCCAGAGAAGAATATTTCTTCAATCTAAGTTCCATGACATGTGAAAAATTCATGTCTGGTGGGTGTCGCCATGATGAGAATCGGTTCCCAGATGAAGCTACTTGTATGGGCTTCTGTGCACCAAAGAAAAGTAAATACTATTTTTATGATTTTTTTCCATTTTCTTTCTTTATTGAGACCTATAGGTGAAAAAAATTTGAATAATTTGATGAGAAAGTAACATGGTTTGCATGCCAGCGATTGCATGTATAAGATCAAACTTTTCGTTGTTGCCCCATTTTTTACATGTAAGAGTACAAGCCAGGGGAAGTTTGTGACTTCTCGGGGATGGAAAGTGACCAAGCCATAATTCCTGTTTTTGCTGCCTCTTCTGTGTTGTTTCTTTCGGACTATTTCTCATTTACTTGATACACATAAAAAACCAGCAGTTGTTAATGAAAGCTATGACCTTTGGTTTGCACGGAATCAATTGTGTAGACAACTGAGACAGTGGAAGATGGTGAAGTTTGAACATTTCTTTCTAAAATTTTTAGTTAGTTTTGTTTTCTTTCGTAATTGCAAATTGCAACGCAAGGAGATTTCTATCCTTTTCTCTCTTCTCCATTTCTTACCTGTCTCACTTTACCACCTCTCCTTGAAATGATGGGTTACTTAGGCAGTATTTATTATTTGTGGATAGGGACAATTTAGGCATTTCTCCCAGACATGTCAAAAACATATAGATTAACAAAAAAATTTACAAACAAGGATTACTCTCTTTGGTAGAGACTTTGATAAAGTTCCCTGGTTAACTATGTTGAATATTCAAAATCTTGAAATAATGGAGAGAAGATTGCTGCTGAGGTTTTATTTTTTTGAATTATTTTATTTATTTATTTACTTATTTATTATTTGATTTTGCTAAAGGGCATGTGAGCTCACCAAAGCAAGACAGAGAGAGAGGCAAAGTGAGAAAACAAGGTACCAGGCCCAGGAATTGAACCATGCTTGGCCATATGGGAGTCCAGCACCTTAACTACCATGCCACCTGCTGGCCCTGCTGCTGATGTTCTTGGGAATTAGACATATGTATTCTTTTTTTTTTTTTTTGGAGAGTTTTTTCGCTATAGGGCGCGTGTGGTCGCCAGACAGACAGATTGAGACATAGAGACAGAAAGCGAGAAATCACCCCCCAGGGGGGATGGTCACGCCGCAATCCCTTCTCCTCCATTCTCCTCTCGGGATCTTGGGCACGCACGCACATGTGCCCGGCTTGAGTTTTAAGCCACCGGGTCCGGGACACGAACTGTGGTCGACTACGTGGGAGTCCAGCGACATAGCCATTACACTAACTGCTGGTTCCCAGACATATGTATTCTTAATTAACAATAGAAGGAGAGCTGATTAAAACAATTAAAACTAATATAAAGTTTAACAAAACATGTCATACATTCTTATCCCTTGAAATTTAGCTCAATTTTACATGACCATATTTGTTTTTAGATATAATTTCTTTTCACATTCAAAGGATACAAGGACATAGTTTTAGAAGAGATTCTGTCCCATTTATAAAAATGCAAATTACGAAAACATAGCTTATAAGCTTACTGGCTATTCGAAGCACACCTTTAGTTTAGTATATTTTGGATTCAGAGTGAAGCATCTGTGGAATTGGATTTTCTTAAGTTACGTCACTAATCATCACATTTAATAATTAGCATTTCTAATTTTATTTTTCTATAAAGGTCCATCATTTTGCTACAGTCCAAAAGATGAGGGATTATGCTCTGCTAATGTGACTCGCTATTATTTTAACCCAAGATACAAAGCCTGTGAGGCCTTCACCTATACTGGCTGTGGAGGCAATGACAATAACTTTGTTACCATGAAAGACTGCAGGCGTGTGTGTGTAAAAGGTAATGAATTTTTTTTCTTATGAAATTAAAAAAAAATTATAAAGAATTCATCAGCAAAATTACATTTTATGTATCCATTTTACTAATAGCTAATTGCACTTATAGACTACTTCTGCATGAATAGTAGTACCTCAGTGCTGTTCAGTTTTGTCAAAATGCTTCTATTAGCTTAGCTCCATGAAACAGTAGCGATATCCTTATATTTTAATGGTAGGATGTTATTAACTGAGTGTATAATGAGTCTGACTGATTTTTACAGTCATTAAAAGTAAAATGAAGTGAGCTTATACACATAATGAAATGGTAATTTATAGTGAACCTACAAACTGGAGACATAAAGTTGATTATTATTTTGTTGACTTTAGCCTTGAAGAAGGAAAAGAAAAAGAAGACACCAAAGCTTCTCTTTCCCAGATAGACACCTGAAAATGTGAAAGAAAGAAGCAATTTTAAACATTTTTTTGTGTGTTATCTTGTGAGTGCTTATTCGTCATTATGGTTATATCTGAAGAATAATATGGTTGCACAAGGAAATGACTCAGTAGTGATTTACTCACCAGTTTTAATTAATACAAATTACTTATTTTATTTGTATTATTTTATATATAACAAGCTGCTATTCAATGTGAATCTATCATTTTTAATTTACTGTTCAAGCGTCCAGGAAACTAAATTCTTGGAATGCATAAGAAAGAAAAGCAAATATGACTCACCCAGTTCATGGGGTCGCTAATCCTGATTTTAGAAGAGGGTAATCGTGAGCAGCAGATGGTGTAATGGTTACATTGCTGGACTCCCACATGGCCAACAGCGGTTTGAGTCGCCAACTGGAAGCTTGAAACACACCAGGAGCATGTGCATGCATGCCCCAAATCCTGAGAGGAGCATGAAGGAGAAGGAATTGCAGCATGGCCATTCCCTCTGGGGGTGGGGGAATGATTTCTCTCTGTCTCTCTGTCTCCCCCATCTTTCTAGTGAGCACACACATCCTATGCAAAAATCTCTCATAAAAAAATAGTAATGACTGAAATAGCATAAGAAAATAGAACCATGTGCTCTTAACACATATGTGCATAAAAAGAGTTATTAATATATGTCATTTTGCAGCTAAAAGTAGAATCATATTTTAGGCCCAATGACACAAAATTGCAAATTCACCAACACTTTAAAAAACAGTGCAAATGCCATTATGTGGACACTACTAACTGTACTTCTGTCTCTATTGTGTCAGATTGCAGTGTAATAAATGTGTAAGAGGATTTGTTTAAAAGATAATCAAATAATTTTTGACTGAAATAAAAAGCTATCAGTTTATTAAAAGTGTTCTCCTCTGGGGGAAATTCTTTCTGTATTCCTTTATGTGTATTTATTTATCTTTCCATCGCTCTTCACTTACATATATATATATATATATATTTATTCCCTAAGATATAATGGGTAGGAGACCACTAAAATTAAATTTTTTGTACTATTGAAGGTATTTGCCACCATGCATGAATTTAATAAATTATCTATAGCCAAAGTCTTCAGAGGATCATGGACCCAATTCAGCCTACATTTGCATCTTTCTGTTCAGCTTGTGTGTGAAATAGGTCGTTTGATACAACATTCCAACACCCAAACCTCTACTAATTCATGAAACATATACCATAACATCACACTGTACCTCATAAATGCATATAATTGTCCTTTTTCAAGTAAAAATAAAAAAATAATGTTTTAAACTAGGAAAAATATAAAATAAAACAGTCATGGACCATAATGTAGTGAAGGGGAAATTCCTTCTTACCACAGTCAGATGAAGACAAATACACTACAGTATCATGGTGTCATCAGACAGCCCAATTTAAAGACATGACTCGTTCTGTGACACAAAAAGACAAAATAAGGGATGGTTGCACTTTCTCACATTTCAGCTCTCTGGCTCTCCCATGAGTGCATGTGCCCTGTAGCAATCAGAAAAAGAAAAAAAGGTTATCTTTTAATAAGGCTATCTTTTTCTTAAAAAAAAAAAAAAAAAAAGCTCGTGTCTCCTCTCTGCACACACTTTGTTACAACATTCAATGCTAGAAACTGCACTGGAGCCTTCCAACAACAGTCTGGATCACAGTCCCCTCAGGTGTACGTGCTGTCTCCACTGATGGTTTTAGAGATCTTTAGCTAACAACCTTATCCAGCCAAGGACTAACCTTTGGAATGTGTTTCCCTGTATTGTAATAGTGGCTATAGAAATTCCATCTGTGGTGTAACCAAAGATAAGTCTTTGGAATGTTCTCGGGGAATGGACCCAAGACAATCAGCCTGTCTATTGGTTCTTCACTGGACTTCTTATGACCTTGTGGTCTCTATTCTTTTTTTTTTTTTGGAGAGGTTTTTGCTATAGGGCGTGTGTGCTTGCCAGAAAGACAGAGAGAGAGACATAGAGACAGAAAGTGAGAAATCACCCCCCAGGGGGGATGGTCACGCCGCAATCCCTTCTCCTCCATTCTCCTCTCGGGATCTTGGGCATGCACGCACACACGCCCGGCGTGAGTTTTAAGCCACTGGGTCCGGGACATGAACCACAGTCGACTACGTGGGAGTCCAGCGACATAGCCATTATGCTAACTGCTGGTTCCCGTGGTCTCCATTCTTGTGGAGGAACTTGTCTTGACAAGTATCAGGCTCCTAATAAAATATAGGTCCTGTGATAAAAATAAGAAAAATAGAAAAGTATAGAGTTACAGTTTTTAGATATCCTTTGTCTCTACATTGAATCAAACTTGAGAGAACAAGCAAATGTGGGAATCAAAATGTAAAATTATTTGTTCTCCCTTCATCCATGTATTCAATTAGTTACCATGTATATATATGTAAATGTTTTTCTAGTCTTCTTTATCTTATGCCAGGAAAATTAAGACATGCCTCGGTTTTCCTTCCTGTTTATGTCTGCTTCATCTCTAATCATCCACATTGGTGTGAGGATAATCTTTCTGAAAAGAAAACTATCTGGGGACCAACAGTTAGCAAAAAGGCTATGTCGCTGGACTCCCGTGTAGTTGACCGTGGTTCCAATCCTGGACCTAGTGGCTTAAACTCACGCCAGGCACATGTGCGTGCGTGCCCATGATCCCAAGAGGAGAATGGAGGAGAAGGGATTGCGGCGTGACCATCCCCCCTGGGGGATGATTTCTCACTTTCTGTCTCTCTGTCTGTCTGGCAAGTGCACACACCCTATAGCAAAAACCTCTCCAAAGGAAAAAAAAAAAAGGAAACTGTCTGATCAAGTTATTCTATTATTTAAAGTGATTCAGTGGTTTTCTGTGAAATCTTCAAGTTCTTGTCCAAGCCCCTTATGTGTCATTTAAGGCTTTTTGGAGTGGACCACGATGTTGTCTAGATTTATATCCCATCATTGTACTATCACCTGTAACCTATAATTCAGTTGCACCAAATTTTCTGCAATTTCTAAGCATGCCATATGGCTGCATTTTTCTATGAGGTGGTTCTTGAATTCTGTACCCAGCGGTTTTGGTTTAGTGGGTATGTACTGGCCCACAAAGATGCACATTTCAAATGATGGCTCTAGGCAATTAGGATGTATACTTCTTTTTATTTATTATCATCATAATCTTCTTTATATTATATTGGATTACATAAAACTTTACAGTGTATTACATTGCTTTTTCAAAAGGGAATGCCATGCATGTCAGTCAGTACAGAGACATTAATCTCCCCGCTTCAACATTCAATATCTTTTTTATGTATACTTCTGTCACACTTTGAGGAATACTTTTTGTTTTTTGCTTTTTTTTTTTTTTTCTTTTTAAATTTGCTTAGGACAGAGTGAAAGTCTGGGGAAGGGGGAGGGAAATTGAGAAAGCACTTCTCAGAGGGGATGGCCATACTGCAATCCCCTTTCCTCCCTTTCTCTCTTCAGAATTTTGGGCACATATTTTTTTTTCAAGTTGCTGGGTCCAGGACTAAAACCACATAATCAGATGGGTCCCAGCTGCCTTAACCACCACACCACTGGCTAACTCAAGGAGGAACACTGCTCTATGCCTTACCATAAGGTTTTTTTTTTTTCCTTTAAAAAGAATATCTTTCCCTCCACGTAACTACTTGGCTAGGTGAATCTTTTTCCTTGTTGACAAAGCATTTCATGACATATTTGAAACAGGTTTAATCATGTACCCAAAGGACTTGCCTTAACTCAGCATAACTTCCTAATTGTACTGATGAAGTATTTAATTATTTTCCTAGGAATTTCATTGGTAGTATAAATTTCTCATGTAAAGTTTATAGGATTTTAAAATTTCCAAACATTATTACACTCACTGTATACTATATGGAAAAATTAAAATATAAGAATAAAAATACAAAAGTATCCAAGATTTCAACCACCAACCACCATTTTTTAAAAAAATGTTTTTGTCATAGGGTCTGTGTGTTTGCTGGAAAGAGACAGAGAAAGAAAGTGAGAAATCAGTTCCTTGGAGGATGGCCACACAGCAATTCCTTCTCTTCCCCTCACCTCTCATCCATTTTCCTCTCAGGATTTTGGACACACACACATGTTGTGATATTTTTTTCTTTTTTTTTTTCTTTTTCTTTTTTTTTAAGAATTATTTTATTTGGGACCAGCAGTTGGCATAATAGCTATGTCGCTGGACATAGTCAACTGCAGTTCGAGTCCTGGACCTAGTGACTTAAACTCATGCCGGGCGCGTGTGCATGCATGTCCAAGATCCTGAGAGGAGAATGGGTGAGAAGAGATTGTGGCGTGGCCATCCCCTCCCGGGAGGGCGGGGAAGGGCAGTAATTTCTCGCTTTCTGTCTCTCTGTCTTTCTGGTGAGTACACACACCCGATAGCAAAAACTTCTCAAAAAATTACTATTTTATTTAACTTTATGTATGTATTTAATTTATTTTGACCAGAGAGGGACAGAGTGAGAGACAGAAAGTGAGAAAGCAAGTCACCAGGTCCGGTACTTGAACTGAAGTCGGCCATGTGAAAACCCAGTGGCTTTATGCACCATGTCATCTGCTGGGCCCTCATGATGTGATTTTTAAGCCACCTGATCTGAGACTTGACCTATGGTCAATCATGTGGGAACCCAGCACCATAACCATCACACCATCTGCTGGCCCTGACTACCAAGTGATAAATAACCACATTTCTGTTTTCTTGAGGTAAAAGCAGTTCAGTCAAAAGATAAAGGCATTTTACTACACTCATTATATTCTGACAAATTGCACTATAAATTTGTATCACTTTGTCCCCAACTAAGAATGTATGAAAATGCCAGATACATTGGATGTTAAATAAGTGAAAAATCAGGGAGCCAGCCAGTGGTGAGTGGTAAAAGGACATGTTCTGTGAGAATGACCCACGTGGGAAAGTTCCAGGTCTGTACCCAGAATCCTCCTTGTGTATGCTGGGTGTGCACATGCCAGGATCCAGGGCTGACTGGT